GGTCAGAGCAGTCGCAATTCTTTGGCGTTGAAAACGGGAGCCCGAGCCGGAAGCGCACGGAGTTGGCGAAATGTACTGGGCCTATCCGTCGGTTTGGGGCAATAGGGATTGCTGTCAGCCAGTCGCCGGTGCCGTATCCCGTCAGCGAGAACATCCGCTGCGTGTTGCCTGGGAGGGGGTTCGGTTTCATGCGCCTCGTGTCCTGCACCTGCACGGCGTATCTGCTGCCGTGGATCTTCAAACCGAGTACGTGTTGTAGCCGAACGTCCGACCGTTTCAGTCGTTCTTTTTCCAAGATCTCCCGCGCATCCCATGGCAACGCGGCTTCGCACTCGGTAAGCCATGTGTGCAGTGGTGTGGTGTCGTCCTGCGGCAAGAGCATGTGATTCCGAGCTCGGATCAGGGCGTTATCTGGTTCTAGCGCGAGGGAGGAGAGGAAGAGTGCCGCCTGGGTGAAACTCGCCGTGTACCCGTATACTCCTTCTATGAGAGGGTCTGTGAGGCCGATGCCTCCCAGTGATGGTGGTAGTGACGCCTGCGCCCATACTCGGGCCTGCTCGGTTCCGCACGTGGGGACGCGGATATCGCATGATACTAGTAGTGCGATGAGTAGGTCCCGTCCCCACTGGCTCCAAGTATCGCGAGGGAGTAGGTGAAGGGGTGTCGTTCGGGTGAGATAAGCCACACGCCTGGAGATGCAGCGAGTGAGTAGCAGGGAAGCTACCTGAGGGTCGGCTCGTTCGAGGAGGGGTAATGGCTTCGCCATTTCTTCTAGCTGGCTTGACAGGAATCTGGCCGCTCCCATATCCGACCCCAGGTAGCTTCCTAGAAGCCGTACGCCTTCCTTTGAATACGGCACTCCATGTGGTAGCTGCGCCTGCTCAACCATGGACGCACTCCAGGCTGCACACTTCTGCGGGTTATGTGCTAGGCCTACGTGGGCCGATTTGTCGGTGAAGAACGTGAAGGCTGCTACAGTGTGTTGTGTCTCCCCCAAAAAGGTGACGTCATCCGCGTACGCCAGGCAGAGCACGTCCGGAAATGCCAGGCGAAAAAATTACTGCCGCCACACAATGAAGAAGAGAGGCCAAGAAGGCCCCTTATATAGCTAGAAGGCCAAGGGCAGAGGGCAGAAGGCAGAGGGCAGAGGGCAGAGGGTAGAGTCCCCTCTCTCTCTCTCTCTCTCGCTCTCTCGAACGAGCGAAAAAATTACTGCCGCCACACAATGAAGAAGAGAGGCCAAGAAGGCCCCTTATATAGCTAGAAGGCCAAGGGCAGAGGGCAGAAGGCAAAGGGCAGAGGGCAGAGGGTAGAGTCCCCTCTCTCTCTCTCAAGCAGTCATGTATTGATAGTGTTCATAAGGTACAGGCATGGTCATAGCGGAAGGACTAGCTGGTCTAAGCAAGGCATGCAAGCAAACTGGAAACTATGCTAGCAAGCAAAACGAAAACAGACAGAACACCCATCAATCCAAGCCCACAGGAGAACCCCAAAACCCACTCATCCCTGGCATCCCACTGCCCTGTGGCTGCACCCTGCGCGCTCAATCCCTCCCTCTCTCTCTCTCTCTCTCTAATGGTCCGTATATTGATAGGTCAGGTAGGTACACACATGCAAGGTAGGGAAGGGCATACAACCAAACCAGCAGTACTAAGATCCTATCCAATTCACACTCTAGAGCTCTAGAAGAGGCTCTACTACTGCAAAACAATCCCCGAGGTGCAGCTCGTGTCCAATGCCTCCCACTGGGGGGTTCTCTGCTGCGGCCGCCTCACCCAACTTCATTAGGAGTCCGACCGATTGAGCCCTTTGCAGGGCCACCGACCATCGCTGGCGGAACTGATGCAGGAACTTGGCGGCATAGAAGGATTTTGAGTCGGCGTTGAAGTGCCGCCGAGCCGCTGTGTCTGCAAGGAGCTTGAGGAAGACGGGTACCTCTGCGCACGGGCAGCCGTAGGTATCCACTGCTAGGGGGAAGAAACCTACTGTCTCCGGCGTGGCGTAGTGCTGAATTTTCTTATCGGCTTGTTCACGCGCTGCCCATCCCCGGCCTTTCTGAGCCTCCGGGTCCCTGGTGCTTATAGGATCAGTGACGGTGACGTCACAAACGTAAACCGCCCCGCTGCTCCTGTCTGACATTGTGAAATCAGCCGTTTGCTCTTCGATGGGGCAGTAGGCGGTGGACTCCCGGTGAACTATAAAGCCTGCATCCTGCGCCATGCTAACGTAGGCGTCCCGCAGCTCATTGTGAGTGTTAATGCGGTGCTTGCCCGTGCCGCAGCGAAGCAGGTGATTGGGGAGGCGGGGGTCAGGGATGGCCGTGTGCTCCGAGCAGTCACAGTTCCTGGGGGTTGAGAATGGCAACGCCAGTCGGAAGCGTACGGCGTTAGCGAAGTGTACCGGCCCAATCCGTCTCGTGGGCTCGACCGGGATCGCCGTGATCCAGTCGCCGGTGCCATAGCCCGTTAGTGAATACATTCGTTGCGTGTGTCCCGCGAGCGGATTCAGGCGCATGCGCCTTGTCGCTTGCACCTGCACGGCGTACCTACTCCCGTGCACCTTCAATCCGAGCACGTGCTGGAGCCGAATGTCAGTGCGTTCCAGCCGCTCCTTTTCTAATATCTCCCGAGCGTCTGTTGGTAGTGCCTCCTCACACCCCGACAGCCAAGCGTGCAGTGGCGTGCTGTTGTCCCGCGGCAGGAGCATGTGGTTCCGTGCCAGTGTAAGCGCGTTCTCTTCTCCCAGCGAGAGGTTGTTGAGAAAGAGCGCCGCCTGGGTAAAGCTCGCCGCAAAGCCGTAAATCCCCTCGATGAGGGTGTTCATGATTCCGAGACCTCCCAACGACGGAGGTAACGACGCCTGCTCCCGTGTTTGCTCTGCTCTGCAAGTCGGCATGCGGATGTCGCAAACGGTAAGGAGCGTGGTGAGCAGGTCCATACCCCACTGGCTCCATTTGTCGCGGGGGAGGAGGTTTAGGGGCGTCGTCCTGGTAAGGTATGCGACCCGCCTCGAAATGCAGCGCGTGATGAGTAGTGCCGCAACCTGGGGGTCCGTCCGTTCGATGAGTGTCAGCAGCTTCGCCATGTCGTCCAGCTGTCCTGCTAGAAAAGTCGCCGCGCCGCTGTCAGGCCCCATGAAGCTGCCTAGTAGTTGCACTCCGTCCTTTGCGAACGGCACCCCTGGAGGTAGGTGGGCTGCTTCGACTTCATTCGAGCTCCAGGCTACACACTTCTGTGGGTTGTGCTCGAGCCCCAGTAGTGACAATTTGCTCGTGAAGTGTGTAAATGCCGCTACAGTGTCTTCGATGTCCCCTATGAACGTCACGTCGTCCGCATATGCCAAACAGAGCACACCAACGTGCGCATCTGCAGTTTCGCAAAGTGTGGCATGTATCCCCGCCGCAAACAGTAGCGGGCCGAGTGGGTCCCCCTGACGGACCCCGCGTTCGCTATGTAGGGGTTCGGAGTTGAAGTTGACATCCAGGAGTAGCTGCGACGGGTTACCGTAGGTCAATTTGACGAGCGGCAGTAGTGGCGAGAGGTCGGGGGCTTGTAACGCAGTGGCGATGGCCTGTCGCGAAATGCTGTTGAATGCGTTCTTGATGTCAGCTTGCAGAACTAGGCTGGTGGGGCGGGCATCCAGGAAAGCTCTGGACGCGTGGATTACAATCTCGGCGCCACCTGGCACTGCCACGCCGTACTGTAGTGGGAGGAAGAATTCACGGGCAGCTTCACCCATCACAGTCAGGGCCGCCTTGGCTGCCAGCCTCGTCAAGCACTCGCCGATCGCGATTGGCCGAGCACCACCCCCCGGTTTGGCCAAAGCAATGAGGCGTGATGCGGTCAGGAGGTTTGCCACCGAGCCTGGCAAATTTCCTCCCAGGATGGTGTTAACCATGGCGTGCAGATGGGTGCTGACCGATGTATTTGTGATAGCCGCGTCGCGCAAATGCTCGAATGTCATCCCCGACGGCCCGGCTCCAACTCCGTTTTCGCATCTCCCCAACATTCTGGCGAAATCCGCGTGGGCGATTGAAAGTGTTGACTCGCACGGTGTCGGCCAGATCACCTCCTCTTGCGCAGCAGGTGGGTGCTTCTGACGCAGCTCCTCCAGAATTTCAGGGCTGGGAGTGCAGACGGGAGTTGACTCCAGGGCGAGGACGGCTCGTCGTAGACTGCCACGTTTCGCCAGACCCTCGGCTCGACTGATCACACCTGTCGCATCGGGCCTGTGTCGTGGCGGAGGTGGCATGTTGACTGCGTCTACCGTGTCCTGGTACAGTTGCTCCCATTCGCCACGCTGGAAGGCTCGGAGCCGGGCTTTGATTTTCGGCCAATCCGGTCGTTGTGGCGAGATTTGGCGAAGGGTTAGGCGCGGGAGAAATAACAGCAGGCGCCATCCTGTCTCGGACTCGGGGTTTCGAGAGAGGTGTAGTAACGGCGTCAGTAACGCTAGCGAGAACAACTGACACATATTTGGCGGTAAGCGCCGCGACAGCGAAGGCTGACGACTGTCGCACAGTGCTGCGATGTCCCAGGTTCCAATGGCAGCGAACAGGTCTGTTCGCTTCGCCAGTTCGTCAGGCGAAAAATAGCGGGGGATCGGAGCGGCTGGGCGTGTCGCAACACCCGTGTTCGCGGCCCGATTTCGTCTAGTACGACCCCCTCGTGCCTGGGAGACAGAGGTTGGAAGCTCCTCCGTCCGATCGGCATCGGACGGTGTGCGTGCCTCCTGGGGCGTTCCCACGCGTGTTTGCTCCTCCACCGCTTCCCTTCTCCCAGAGCTCTCCCTCGGCCCGGCTTCTTCATCCTCTCCCTCTTCGCTCTCACTATCAGGTGTTGCTTCTTCCCTATAAGAGGGATCCTGGCGCTCGTCCTCCTCATTAGCTGTGTCTAAGTTGGTTAAGGCCGCCCTTGCTGCTGCCTGGTATCCGTTCTCTGGACCTCCGCCAGCCCCGCTTGCTGTTAGCTGTTCCGTCCTGCGTCGTCCCCGCGCTTGAGATGGTGGTTGCGGGTGCTGACGCGCCGTCGCCAGAGCGCGCTGCCGCCTGGTCGGCTGTCGTCGCCAGGCCTCACTCGGGGCCCGAAAAGGCGACCACGGCCTCGAAGCCTCCTGTACCGCCGGCTCCGAAACCCGCGACAACAGACGCTGAAAGGACTCTTCCCCCCGCACCCGCGGCTCCCCTTGGCATGGGCGAGGCTGGCCCGTCCGCTCCTGTTGTTGCTCCGCCCGCTCCGCCTGCTGCTCCCGTTCCCCCGGCTCCCGTGGTTGCGCTGTCGGGGGCTGCGCCTGCTGGGGAAGCTGCTGATCCCCATGTTCCTGCCCCTGGCACTCTCGTTGCACCGGCCGCTTCTGTCCCCGACGTGCCTGCGCCGGTGTCTGCTTCTTCCCCAAAGGCGGCGTCCGCCACCACTGTCGACCCGGCTCCGATGGTTGCGCCTCCTGGCGCGGACCCGACGGCTCCCGCTCTGCTGCCGGTGGCCCTTGTACTGCAGCCGTCACGCCCCCCGTCGCCGGACCGCCGTCTATCTCGCCCCCATTCGCCCGCGCCCCAACAGGAGCGCGAGTCGTCGCGGCGCCGGCGCAACTCTCCCCGGCGCTACCAGCAGCAGGCCCAGTGGCCTGCACACCCTGGTGGCAATGGGGGCTGGAGGGGCCCCCACGGGCGTGGTGGTGGCGGGAGATACCGTCCGCCTGTGACACTGGCGGATCTCCAGCGGGAGGTGTCGCGGGCCGTGCGCGAGGAGAGGGCGGCGCAAAGTCAGAGCAGTTCACTGCGGGCCGCGCCAGCGCCCGTGGCTCCTCGTCAGACTGAGCCTCCTGTGGCTCCTCCGCCAGCTGCTGCATTTCCTCCTCCTGTCCTCGCCCCATCGGCTCCTTCTCCTTCTGTCTCGGCGCCTGCTCCCGGCTCTCGTCTGCATTTGCCACCGGTTCCGCCTGTTGCGGGGGTGGAGTTTGTTGCTGCGGGGGGTGGTGCTGCGGCTCAGCATTCCCACCACGTTGCTGCTAATGAGCCGCTGCTGTTTCTGACGGAGGCACTGCAGCCCCCGCAGACGCGTGTTCCAGAGGCGACACTTGGCCAGCTCCACCGTCTCGCGGAGAGCGTCCACGCGTTGCTGCTGATTCAAGTTCTCGCTCATTCGTCTCTCCCCGTGATTCCTCCGGAGACTTTCCGCGGCCGCCAGCGTGACACGTGCTTGGACGCGGCGGACCAGCTCGCGTCGCTGCTGGCGCCCGTGTTGACTGCGCCCGTGGAGGGTGGCGCTGCTGCTGCGGGACAGCTTGACGAGGCTGTCCGGGGCTTGAGGCGGCACTTGCGCGCAGGATCTGGAGCCGCGGGGATCGGCGCAAGCACACTTGTGGTCCGGGAGCTGTGGCGCTCCCTGACGGGCGTTCTTCACGCCCTTGGAGCTCACCGCATGTAGTCGCGGGCTCCGGTTGCCCATTTGATGCCATGCCTGTCTAGGTGCTTATTGAAACCGTCATTGCGTGTATGTCCTTGCTTAGTATATATTGCGTGTGTTTGTTCTTGCCTTCCCCTCGCGCGCGGCCGAAGGATAATGACCCAAGGAGGCTAGAGCAGCCTCTTAAGTAGCTAGGAAACCAAGGGCAGAGGCTAAAGGCAGAGGGCAGAGGCTAACCCTCTCTCTCTCTCTCTCAAGCGGTCCTTCATTGATAATTGGCAGGGTACAGTCTCTCTCTCTCTCTCTAATGGTCCTTGTAACCGCCAAGGATGCTCCTCTCTTCCCCTCCTTGCAACCGCCATGGGGCATGGGGAAGGTGGGGGACATGGATGTATGTCACAATTGGATCAAAATTTCCCCGTACCATAACTTTCTCCCCATAGCTAGCAAAACCCTAAAGGGTTTTTGAAAGAGAATTGGAAGAAATGAAAGATGGGTTTTGTTTTCTAGATACTAAACGGTGCAGTGAGGTTTGTGTTTAATTTTGGTTGGGGGGGGGAATCAAATTTGCTTGGGGGGCTGGTTTCTATGGTCGAAATGGGTGGGAGGGGGTTCCAATGTCGCAAAATTGAATTTCGCGTCGAAATGGCTAGCACAGGTAAACGCGCACGAATGTTTTTTCCCGGGCTGCCCGAAAGTTTTGCCCTATGCGTCTAGCGTCTAAGGGTGCGTCCTACGTCTAGCATCTAGATGCTAGACGTAGGACGGTCCCTGCGTATTCCGCAACTAAGGTACTATGGCAGCACTATGCTCGTCTATGGGTGGCGACTATGGCGTCATGGGTGGCGACTATGGCAGCACTATGCTCGTCCTTCCGCTCCGCTGGCATTGTAATGGTACACAACCTTGTCCAAAAAACTGCAAACACTCTACATACTGCAAAATGTGTAACAGTTTTTTATTTTCTTTTATTTTATGTTCTTTTTTTCTTTTTGGGCGCCTAAAAAAACTCATGGACTAGGGTTTAAGAATGACAAATAGGAGATTTTTTGTCGAACTACCCCTACCCATCCCCTCCAAATCCCCAAGTGCCCGGGTCCGATGGGGACAATCTACCGTTGACGCTCGTGGCGCAGCGGGATCTGTGAATGCACCAGCCGTTCCCCCGCCTCCTCCCACTCTCGAATGGTCCTTGCTCCCCTCACACCTCTCTGCTTCACCTTCCCTTCCCTTCCCGTCCCCCGGCTTGCTTCACCCAGGTGCGTGGGTCCGACGCGGACAACCCACCGCTGACTGACGCGCGTGGCACAGTGGGATCTGTGGGAGCACCAGCTGTTCCACGGCAGCTGCGACAGAAAGCATCAACCCCCCTCCTCCTCCCAATCTATCTCCCCACGTCTCTCCCAGTCTATCTCCCCACGTCTCTCCCAGTCTATCTCCCCACGTCTCTCCCAGTCTATCTCCCCACGTCTCTCCCAGTCTATCTCCCCACCTCCCCTCCCTCCTCCCCTCGCGCCTGCCTTCCCCCAAACCAGGTGCGCGGGTCCAATGCGGACAACCTACCGCGGACGCGCGTGGCGCAGCGGGATCTGTGGGAGCACCAGCTGTTCCACGTGTTTTGAGTAGACTCAAAACACGGCCTGTGGGAGCACCAGATGTTCCACGGCAGCTGCGACGGCAGGCGCCTGCTCGTCGTGCCGTGGCCCAACAAGACCTTCCATGGCGTCGGCTCTCAGGTGGGATTGGGGGAGAACGCACCTTCCGGGAAAAGTTGGGGTTTTAGGGAATACTCAAAAACCAACTTATCTTTCGAGAATTCTCAAAATCCAAGCGCCTGCTTGTCGTGCCGTGGCCCAACAATACCCTCCATGACGTGTGCTGGGCTCTCAGGTGGGAGGAGAAGTTGGTTCTTGAGAATTCTCAATAACCAACTTATAAACCAAGCGCCTGCTTGTCGTTCCGTGGGCCAACAAGACGTGCCACGGCGTGGGCTCACAGGTGGAAGGAGAGGGCGTGCCATGCCTTACGGGAGGAGAGGGTCCGTGAGAGTTGCTCACACGGCGCGAGAGCTGCTCGCACTGCGAGAGTCGGAAATTAATCTAGTTCTGAGTTTGTTTTTGCCGGAAAGCAATCTCAAGGCCTGCAGGTGGGTGGGAGAGGGCGTGTCGTGCCTTACGGGAGGGAAGGACTGCGAGAGTTGGAATGAAACCTAGATTTGAGATTTAATTCCCGGTTTTGAGACGTCTCAAGGCTCGGAGGTGGGTGGGAGAGGGTGTGCCTTACGAGAGGGACGGACCACGAGAGTCGGAAGAAGAGGGTGCCTTGCGTGACTGCGAGGTGGGTATTGAGGGGCTTGCAAACGAGAGCCGGGGTGCTTAGAGTCAGGCTCGCAGGTGGGTGGGAGAGGACGTGCCGTGCCTCACGGGGGGGACGGACCACGAGAGATGGAATGAGGAGGGTGCCTCGCTTGGCTGCGAGGTGGGTATTGACGAGCTTGCAAACGAGAGTCGGGATGCTTAAAGGTGAAAGTGGCTCCTTCGTCAATTGGTTTCCCTTCCTCCTCTCACTCTCTCTCTCCCTCCTTTCTGCTTCCCATTCGCTCCCCTTCCCCACCGCCCTCTCTCCTGCTTCCCTCCCTTTCTTGCACCCACACACCCACCGGCACCATCAGTTACACGTTCCTCAGCCTGGCCTTTCCTGCCATCATTATCCCATCATTACCCCCATCATTACCCTTATCATTACTTATCAGATACACGTGATGAGCAGTTTCCTGAGCCTCGCCCTGATTCACAACCGCACACTCGTGCCCACGCCTGCCTCGTATGACCGAGCCCTCACAGAGACATGCAATGGTGAGATGTGATGTACGCCCAGCGTATGCTAAGCTTGCCTTTGAGTCTACTCAAACGTCAGCTCGTACGACCGAGCTCCCACCGAGATATGCAATTGTGAGCTATACTGCGCCTGGCCTTGCTCGTAAAGGCAGATAGCTTATATTAAGTGTGCCTTTGAGAATCTCTCAAGAACCAGGTTGTCTCATTTGTGAGTGTTAAATCCCTCGGCCCAAATTGCGGATCGCGCAGAGCAAGCTTACTAAGTTTGATGAGGGTGCTGTTTGGGGTGTCGGTTTTTTGCGAACTGTGGTTACGACGAGGGACACGAAGCGGCCTGATTGGCCAATATTGTGATTGTCGAATATGAGAGCGAGAACCATCAATATTTTTGGGAGTGCAATATGGGACTTCCGAACCATCACTAATACTGGGGGTTTGATGAGTCAGCGAAAATTCTGAAGGTGTCTCGCGAAGCTGGGCGAAACCAAACAGCCCAACTCCAACCCCTCAACTTTCTTACTTCAACCTTCCTCTCGGCCACCCAAAGGTAAACCTTAGTAAGGTTGATTGAACAATATGGACCTAGAGATTTAAGCCCAGCCCATTCCACGCTGAGTGGGTCTATTACGTCGGTCGGCACCATGCTCGACCGCTTCCTTTTCCCTCCCACCATGCTCAACCGCTTCCTTTTCTCACACCTACTCCCCATGTCTCACCCATCACCCCCCCCATGCTCCCCAGTTCCTTTTCTCACACCCACTCCCCATTTCTCACCCACCCTCACATGCCCCCCCTCTCCCCCTCGCCCCTCCCATCCCAGCCACCAGCACAGGCGGGTCATGGGATTGCTACTTCTTTCCCCTAGTGAACCGCGACTGTGAGCGCGTGGTATCAGATATGATTGCCAGCAGCACCATGCCCCCTCTCTCTTCCGACACAAAGGGCCACGATCGCCTGGCGGCCTCGGCCCACCCTGTGGTGTTTCTCAATGCGAGCTGCCACAGCCAGATGGCTTTCGAGTCCCGTGCTGCCAAGTGCGCGAGTCCTAGGGGAAGGGGGAGCGGGAAGGTGGGAAGGGTGTGTTTTCTAGACGTCTCAATACCCTGTTGTTCACGCCTCGCTGCCTCAAACGACCCAAAAGTCACAGAACGACAATCGCCTCGCTGCCTCGACCACCCTGCGGTTCACCTGAATTCCAGCTGCGACAGCCAGATCGCTTTTGAGGCCCGTGCTGCCAAGTGAGTGCTGGGGGAAGGGGAAGGGATTCTTTGATGTCTCAAAAGCACAATCACCTCGCTCGGACGACCCTATGGTTCATCTAAACTCAAGCTGCGACAGCCAGATGGCCTTCGAGGCCCGTGCGGCAAAGTGAGTGTGAGTCGGGAGGGGAAGGGGAAGGTGGGGAGTGGAAGAGTGTAAGAGGTTCCTCGGTCGACCCTGCCACAGCCAGCTGGCTTTTGAATCCCGTGCTGCCAAGTGAGTTCTATGGGAAGGGGAGGGGAATGGGAAGGGGGAAGGGGAAGGGAAGGGAGAAAAGGAAGGGGAAGGGGAAGGCTCCGAAGTGTCAGGAGGATATACATTCGTGTCCTCTCATCCCTCACATTTTCTCTTCCCTTCGCACCTATCCCTTGCCTCTACCACTCCCTATCCTCCCCCCTTCCAGGCTATGGGGCGTGATGGGGCAATGTGATGGGGCGATGGGATGGGGCGATGTGATGCGGCGAGTGAGGGCCCTCCTGTACAGGAGGGCCCTGAATGTGGTGGATAGCACGTGGGGGAGCAGCTGCACGTTGAGACTTTCGAGTCGACTCAAATGCCACCCCCCCCCCCCCGTGCCCCCCACCCGCCACCTCTGCCCCCCAATCCCGCCCCCGCCCCCTCCCCCGCCCCCCACTTGCCCAGTCTATGGGGCGATGCGTATGCGAGGGCCCCAAATATGGTGGACTATGCGCTCTGGTTCCTTTTTTAGAGAATTCCCAAAAAACGACTTGGCCCCGAATGTGGAGTATATGGGATGGGGGAGCAGCCGGCCGTTGAGAGCAAACACCCGATGGTGCGTGCGTGCTTGCGTGCGGGTGTGGTTGTACAAGTGAATCCGCACGGTACACAATTGATTGGTTGGTTCACAGGCCCGCAGGTTGAACAGTTCATCAGCATGTAAACACCCAGCCAGACCACACCCCGCCCCATAACCTCCCTCTTACCGCCTCCCTCTCCCCTTCCCTCCTCTCCTCTCCCTCTCCCCCTCTCCCTCCCTTCCCCCCCCTTACTCCTCCCCTCGTTGCCCACACTCCCTCTACCCCTCCCCTCCTCGCTCACATTCTGCGGTCACCTGGCGATCCCAGTCAACTCGCTTCATGATGCGCTGGCCCTCGCCTCCCTCTCTCCCTCCCTTTACCCTTCCCCCTACCCCTCTGCCTACCCCTACCCCTCCGCCTACCCCTACCCCTCCGCCTACCCATCCCCCTACCGCTCCCCTCCTCACCTGGCATGTGCACTGGTGGCGATCCCAGTCGGTGCGTTTCATGCTGCGCTGGCCCTCACCCCACACGTGCCACGCCACTAACAAGCAGCGCCACACCGCGTACGGCCTCCACGTTGCGTCCCACCTCTCACGCTACACCGAAACACAGTCCGAGATCATCCGGGCCGTCGCAGGCAACGCGTCCGAAACACCCGAATCCAAGAAACATGCCGAGGTTTCTGCGGGCCCTCCGGGACCCATCGAGACGCAAGTGTGGCCCGTCCGGGGGTTCACGGGGTGTAATGAAACGTGCATGGGTGCAGTGGATGCCAAGGCGATAAGGGAGACGTATGCAGCGGTAGGAGGGGAGCCGTTTGTGATGCGGCCGATCGTGAGTGTGCACGTGCGGCAGAGCAACAAGGGGACTCAGATGCGTCTGTCGCCGCTCGCCACATACATGTTCTTTGTGCACCGGCTGCGGCGTCACGTGCCGGACCTGCGACACGTGTGGCTCAACACAAATATGGAGGTGCGTGTGGCTCAACACAGAGATGGAGGTGCGTGTGGCTCAACACAGATATGGAGGTGCGTGTGGCTCAACACAGAGATGGAGGTGCGTGTGGCTCAACACAGAGATGGAGGTGCGTGGGGAGAGCCTACAACCTTGTACGTTGACTGGAAGTTTCTCTTTTGAGTGGACTTAGAACCTTCCTTTTCTTTCCTTCTATCCGCCCTACAGCCCGTGATCAAAGAATCAGCCTTGTACGTCGACTGGAAGTTCCTCGTCTCCTCCAACTCACGTCAGCGCGTGTACTCCAGGTCGGGCCGCGGCTCGAGACGTCTCAAAACTCAAACCTTCCTTCCTTCCTTCTCTCCCACCCACTCTACAGTCAGTGGTCAGCCTTGTATGTCGAGTGGAAGTTCCTCCACTCCTCCAACTCGCCCCAGCCGATGGATTCCAGGTCGAGCCGCAAGTATGAGACGTCTCAACTGGAGGATTTTTCTTTGGAGTCGTCTCAAAAGCTTCCTTCCTTCCTTCTCTCCCACCCGCTCTACAGTCTGTGATAAAAGAGTCAGCCTTGTACGTCGACTGGAATTTTCTCCACTCCTCTAACTCACGCCAGCCGATGGATTCCAGGTCAAACCGCGAGTACGAGCTCACGCAGTCGGCCGCAGCGAGTTTCGCGAGCGCGATCATTGCGTCGCAGTGCGACTACTTTGTGGGTGCGCCTTGGGTCCAACTGGAGCCGGCAAATTAACGAGTTGCGCTCGACGAATGGGAGGTTGCTCCTCGGCTTTTATACTTCCAACATGGGGGACTGGTAGCCTTTTGAGGTGCCTCAATCATAAGGCGCTGTTATTGCGTCTCAGAGCGACTACTTTGTGGGTGCGCTCAGGTCCAACTGGAGACGGATGATTTATGAGCCGCGGTCAACAAATGGGAGGTTGCTTAGCGGCTTTTATACTGTCAACATGGGGGACTGGTATCTTTCAGAGGCGTCTCAGTCACGACATGGCATCAATCTATGACTGGTAGTCGCGCTCTCTTATGCTGTTGCAGCTGCACATTTGCTTGATGACTTTTGAGTCGACTCAACCGTCGACGTGGGGGACTGGTAGCCGCACTCCCTTCTATTGTTGCAGCTGCACACTCACTTGTGGCAACCGTTCGGGAGTGGGCACAGCTAACAATTAGGAACAGGTAATTCAGGCCATGTGACTATGCATAGTTCCTCGTGCCACTACTATTTTAGGCCTCACGTCGTCCTTTCCTCCCAAAATACTATTTTCCTCATTTCTCACCGTTCTCCCTTCCTCATTTCTCACCGTTCTCCCTTCCTCATCTCCTCCCTCTCGGATTTCCATAATTTCCTCCCTTTACGTCCCATCCTCTGTTACTCCCTCCCTATGTTACTCCGTCCCTTTTTTCCTCCCGTCATCCCTTCATACATGCTGCTCTGTCACCATGCATCATATCTTCTTCCCTTCTCCCTTTCCTCCCTTCCACCGTTCCTCTTTCACTGTTCCTCTCTGTTGTATGCCCCTTCATACATGCCTCTCTCCCCCTATTCCTCTTGGTAGCTCCCAGGCACATATGGCATGGTGTCATGCACACATGGTGCTTCGCATACCGTATAATTTATGCAATACGAAACCAATGAAATCTGGGTGACATGCTAACAACTCTCCCAGAGGGCAATCTGCCAGAAAAAAAAATATTTACAACTGCTTGTAGTGTAGAATTGTGTGGATATTGTCAACGACTGAGACACAAGAAAGTAGTTCAGACGCCATCCCGATGAAAGGTGGAGAGGCAAGTGTAGTAAGATGCATTGTTATATTTTATGTATAAACTGCCTACAGTGTTATCTAGAGTAGTGTAGCTTTCTGTTTGGTGGTATACCTCCTTGATTGCTTGCCTAGCCACTACTTGTATGCCTGTTTCTTGTCGTAAAATGTATTGTTATATTTTATGTAGAAACTGCCTACAGTGTTCTCTAGAGTAGTGTAGCTTTCTGTTTGGTGGTATACCTCCTTGATTGCTTGCCTAGCCACTACTTGTATGCTATCAGAGCCGGAAGTTCCTCTAAGGACCTCCGTCATTATTTCTCATGGGCCCACCGTCACGCTGCCCGCAGGGCCCAAAATATCAGGGTAAAATGCCCTGATTACCCTGGGGGCCGGCCGCTTTTTCAGAGTTACCCTTTCAAAATCAGGCTTCCAAGATTTTTGCCCTTACGCAAAAAGATCTGGTTTTTTTTTACACTGATAGCGATTTCGTTTACCCTGGCTGTATTAGGGTGCGCTGTACATTACACTGATACCGAACCCTCTGTAGCGAGGATTTTCCTTGCGAATTCGCAAAACGTCACTACCGCCCCCGGGATTCGAACCCGCGATCTTGCGATTTCTAACCGAACACGTAACCAACAGAGACACATCACTGATAATTTAGTTACAAAGCATTCTTACGATGTGACTCTGGACTGCCAACGCACCCCTGAATCGAGCCACACCACACCACGCCCACTGCCAGCTGAGCAGAGTTGCGCGTCAAGAACAGCTTCGTACTACTTTATTATTACTGTAGAAATTACTTGACAAACTAGAGGTGAAAACAGGCTTAGTATAGAAATACCCTGCTCAAATCAGTGTAGTGGTAGATTTACCTTGCTGCCAACAGGGTACGAAAAAAAATACCCTACAGGTCAGGGTAAGGAGGGGCTGGAACCCTGATTTGTAAGGGTGGGCCTAAACCAATTTTGGGCCCTGGTTGCCCGTCATGCAGCGGCCCTGCCCATCACGCTGCCCGTTGCGAGCCCGTCGCACACGGCGGTTCCTGTCCGTCGTGCGCCCCGAGCGCGCGGCGGTTCCTGCCCGTCGTGCGCCCCGAGTGCGCGGCGGTTCCTGCCCATCGTGCGCCCCGAGCGCGCGGCGGTTCCTTCCCGTCGTGCGTCCCAAGCGCGCGGCGGTTCCTGCGCGTTGTGCTCCCCGAGCGCGCGGCGGTTCCTGCCCGTCGTGCGCCCCGAGCGCGCGGCGGTTCCTGCCCGTCGTGCGCCTCGAGCGCGCGTCGGTTTCTGCCAGCCGTGCGCCCTGCAACCCTGCTCGCCCGCGCCGTTTCGTCGCCCAGCGCCCCCCCCGGTCGCCCCTCCCCAATTCGCCGCCCTCCCGCCCGTCCCTCGCGTGGTCTTTGCTGTGCGGGGGGGTGGTGGGGTGGTGCCCGAGAGTGGGGGAGGCGGGGGTGGGTGACTCAGCCTCCCCGCTCTCCTCTCTGTCCCTGCAGCGGCTGGTGCTGAGGGGGGGGGGGAGGGGATGAAGGGGTGGCAGAGCCAGCGCGAGCAGCGGCTGCAGCATCGCGCGCTGCCCGCCAGCACTAGCGACGCTGCCCTCCCTGCCCCTGCCGCGGCCTCTGCCGTAGGGGGGTGGTGGGGGTGGTGGCCGTGAATGGGGGAGGCGGGGGTGGATGAAGCTGCCTCCCCTCTCTCCTCTCTCCACCTGCAGCTGCTATCGCTGTGGGGGGGGAGGGTGAGGGGGTGGCGGATGTGTTTCAGCAGCAGCCGCCTCTCCCCCCAGCCTGTCTCCTACTGCCATACCTGCTGTTGTGGGGGAACAAGATGAGGGGGTGGCGGGAGTGAAGTCCAGCTGCAGCCGCCTCACTGTTGTCGCCTCATCTTCCCCCGCAGCACCTGCTGCACCTGCTCTGGCGTACCCCTTCAGTTTGTGTTCACTACACATGTTTTCCCTGTAGGCAGTTTAGGGGGTTGTATTGTTATATTTTATGTATAAACTGCCTACAGTGTTATCTAGAGTAGTGTAGCTTTCTGTTTGGTGGTAAACCTCCTTGATTGCTTGCCTAGCCACTACTTGTATGCTTGTTTCTCGTTAATCAACCACTCTTTTGCCTATCTTCTGTAGGGCTGAGAAAGCCCTTAGGATCGTTTCAAGGCTAAGACTCGGGGTGATGATGTAATTGCGGAAGCGTTTGTAGTGAACTGGTTGAAGCACCTTGCACTAGTGTGTGAGCGCAAGATAGATTAATTATAGCAAAGTAGTACAATAGATTAAATATAGCAAAGTAGTACAAGGCTTTTTATATGATTACGGAAAATACGAAGAGAAATAACTAACTGTTGCAGTTGTGATTCGATACAGCTGCGACTCGGGCAACTGCTCAGTAATGAGTCAGTTGTGTGTCCTTGCTGTCGCGCTGCCTTTCGGCGAGTCAAAGGTTGCTGACCTTTGACCTTCGCTTAACCTCCTTGCTGTTACATTTTGTCAACCTCTTCGGTTGACTCGCTGTTGCTTCGCTGTAGTCTGCCTCGCTTACAGTTCGATGTTTCGACACATCAGAAGCGCAAAATACGTGTTTTGCGGAGATAACTGCAACAACGGGAGCTAGGCTGCGGGCTAGGCACGGGTGCTCGTGTGATCTCTGTGTTCGTTGGTCCTTAGTCATTTGCTTGTGTGTTCTCTGCTTGCATATTCACGGGGAGATTTTGCAAGAGTTTCACTAGCAAAGATTGACAACAATGGTTAGCAACAACATTGGCAACACAGACTACATGAGAGCTAGCTAGGCTGCTGGTCTACCTCCAGCGCAGCATGGTCGACCGCGCTCCAGCGCAGCAGCGCTCGCACCGCTCCAGCGTTGCAGAGTAGCGGTGCGCCAACGTTGCAAGTCCACGGTCTGCCAACCCTGCAGCAAGTCGGCTGCACAGTGCAGACGCGTGGCAGCTGGTTGGTGCACTCGTCCTTGTCACGTGCACAGTGCAGACGCGTGGCAGACTCCACGCCAGAAACTGCGCCCACCAGCCACGTCGACCTCGGGATACCACCCCCGAGGTCGGCCTCGCAGACTCCACCCCGGCGACACCCGCACACGTCGCCCGGGTATCCCGGTCGACCGGGCAACCACGCCTAGTCGACCAGTGCAGTCCGTAGCCCGGCCACACATGCCCGGCGTCCCCTCTTCAGCATCCAGGCGTCGAGGACGCCGTTCAAACACCCAAGTCGGCGTCCAGGCGCCCCAGGACGCCGTGCAGACCTCCAGAGCGGCGTCCAGCCTCCCAGGACGTCGACCAGACGCCCAGGTCGGCGTCTGGCCTCCCAGGACGCCGTGCAGGCGCCCACGACGTCGACCAGGCGCCCGGGTAGTCGTACCGACGCCCAGGTCGGCGTCCAGCTTCCCAGGACGCCGTCCAGGAGTCCAGGACGCCAACCAGGCGTCCAGGGCAGCGTCCTCCTGCTCGGCGCCCTCCAGCTTGGCGCCCTTGCAGTGGCCCCCGTGCCCACTGCTGTTGGTCGGCTGCATCCCCCGCACGCTCGACCACAAGGTCGGCTCCGCCCAAGCGAGGACGGGGCCACACAGCACTCCCGTTGACATGTTTCCAACACTCCCCTTCGCTTCTGGAGTTTCGTTGCTGGTGACGTGGCCTTGTCCAGTCAGCAGCATACAGTACTCAAACTTCTGCTTTTCGAGTTTCTTGGTCAAGTAATCTGCTGCCATCTCGGACATGGGGCAGTAGGATAGCTCGAGCCTCCCTTTCTCGATCTCGTCCTTCACG